ACACTACAAGATATGGCTGCCAACCGATGTCAGTGGCGTTCTTGTTGTCAGTTTCTATCCAGATTGCCTGAGTGAATGTCTGGCGGTGTAGGCACCTCGGAATGACTGTGGTAAGCTAGCACTAAGTCCCTCCCCCGTCCACTTTTACTCTTTTCTTTACAATAAGGCTTTCAAATAAATCATGGTTGTACGGCAGTGAAGCATCAGTGTTGAAGGCTGATGTCATGGTGCCGTGATGATGATGATGAATCAGGAGAACAAGAGATTACAGTTGGTTGTTCACTGAGCGCGGCAAGTTTCATCACCGTCCAAACCCTGTTCGAAAGGGTGGAGACACACTGTAGCACCACAGAACTACGGAGGAAGGAAGAAAACTATCTATTCAGAATATTCCAGAACAATGGATATCCAAAGAATTTTCTCAAGAGAAGCTTGAAGAAGAAGACATCTCAGCAGCAGCAACAGCAAGAACAAGCCACCAGACGGATAATCCCGCCTTACATCAAGAATATATCAGAACTCGCAACCAGATTACTGGCTCAAAAAGGAATCTTCGTGGCTCACAAACCGAATGCCACCCTAAGGAAATTAATGTTTACACTGCTAGGTTTCCTACGGTGATACAGTTGGTGTTGGTTATCCTGACATCGCTTGCGATATCGGGAAAGAGCTTTGACGGCGCTGGTGGTGAAGGTGATTCTTGCGGTGCTGCTAGTCATGTGAGCATTGACCGAACAGGGCGGTGATGGTTAGTGGCGGTTGTTTCCGACGCTGTTGTTATTTTAATCTTTCGATGCTCTTGTGGTGCTCATAACGACAAAATGATGTGGTCAACTTCATTGGTCACAGTGACGGTAGTGTTTAGGAGTAGAGGCGCTGACGGTGACACTGGTAGGTGGTGGTAGCTGTGTTCATCACATACTACTCATGAGGTTGGTGAAAACTCTTTGACACTTCATGATACTCTTCATCCTTCCTGGGACTCACTAGCTGAAAGTAGTCCCCGAATCCCCACTAAATCGCATAAAATTGGCGGAACAGACTCTTTTGCAAATTAGGCGCTAGTGAGAGCACGTTATATTTTTCAAGAAGAATGAAATCGGTAGTTTCGAGCAGACTAAAACAAATATACTCGAAGTACCGTACCAAGTGAACCACAGGGCACCATTTGTACAGCACATTCCGCTGACTGATACCACAGACGGGAGACCCAGCTGGAGAAGACTGAGGAAGCCTAAGAAGACTGCTGTTTTTCGTTCTGATGACGATCTTCGTAATTCTAAGTGAGCTCATGATGGCGACGGCCCAAAGTGCTCATCACGAGGTTGGTGGTGATGAACTCATAGGCTGGAGATTGTCTGTGTTCGTGATTACGGATTGTTATCCGCCTGGTGACAGATGCTGACCCGAGCAGGTCGAGGTATGTTTCTCCAAGACCTTTGTGGATCGAACATAAATTTTTTTACGTACTTTTCCGCACGCGTAATCAAACCGAAAACAACCATAATCTGCCTTAGTTTTGTTGAAGTTTCTTTTAATCGATCTCTCCTCAATTTTTTGGCGCGCATGCAATTTTAAAGTTACGGTGCAATGGTTTCAGATACGGCCTGAATTTGATGAGAAATTGGCTGCCGTCTGGTTTTCATCACTTGCGCCATTTGAGACAGTGTTAAATGAATACATGAATTATAATTATACGTTATTTGTGCGTACAGCGTGTACTGGAACGCTGTTTTGCGCTACAAATGGGGATTCTGTGAACGCAGCAGGCGGTCAGCAAGACCAACGGAAAGTCGAGGAATCCAAATTAGCCGGTAAGTTGAGCGCACTTCTTTATGATAAGCAATACACAAAGCACCGGCCGTGCAGTTCGTTTTTGTCTAAGAAGACACAGGAACAATTTTTCAGTCACCTCATAAGGTTACCAAGTTTTTGTTCGATCGACTTCCGGTGAATCGATGGCTAACCGAAGAAGGGTTG